ACACCATCGCCCGACCCCTAGGAGCAATTGACGACAAAGCAACGATTCGACATGTCGTCGTTAATGTCGAGAAATCATCAAAATGATGAGCATGCTACACACTTTCTATACAACTAACTGAAAATCGTTCCTCATATGACGTCACTGCAGTGATCTGGCGACAGAGTTACGTAACCTGTTTGTGGTTTCGTTGGCGGGCGAGAGAGAAGCAGGCGACTTTTTGGCCACTTTTAATCGCTCGGTATTAATTAACCACAAGTTTTTAAAGAATAAATGTGGTGTTCCGCATAAGACTAACCACAAATCTTTCATATGTAATGGTTAAAAGAGTAACAAAAAACAAAGTTTAGTGGTTCTTTAACCCTAGACGCAACATAGGCTTGTTTAGATCTGGAAAGGTACATCACATCCTTCACTTGGGGAATAAACTCATAATTATGAGAAATAAGAGGCCAAAAGCATGCCGAGTGCCACTCTGGCACAATAAGGGTGCCCTTAGCTTTACTTTCTGCCAAATGTCTAAGGCACCTGGGGATCAGACACACAGGGGGAACAAGCCAGTTAAGAACACCACCCCAGTTAACAGTGAAACAATCAACAGTCACAACCAGGATTATAAAATCTGGAATTAAAGCATGGGAGCTTGGTATTATAATACGAAGCAAATCTGTCCACACTATGGGGTCCCCATTTAGCATCTATCTGCTTGAAAATATAGCTTGGAATGGACCAGTCATCATAGTCAACAATTTTACTTAGCATATCCGCTGTCTCGTTATCAGAACGAGGTATCCACTGCATAAGTAAAGTCACATGGTGAGAGAAACACAGTTTGAAGATATCCAGCACAACCGCCTGGAGATGAGGTTTCATGCTCCCTTTCTCCACTATTTACGTAATGTTCTTGTTATCTGTAAGCCACATAACTTTGTGTGAAGACAGGCTAGGAATAAAGCTTTTCAACACAAGGTGCACTGCTTGAAGTTCTCTCCAAGTAGAACTCGACTTAGCTTCGTCATCTGACCACTGACCATGAGATATAGCTTGACCAAACAGCACACAATAGCCCCCAAAACCAGAGCCACTCGCATCACTGTACACAACTCGCGTTGCAATAGATTTTGTCTTCAGCACAGTACTTGAGTAAGCATTAATATGCGTCAACCAAAATGTCAATTGATAAACACTTTGAGGGGATAGCTTCACTTTGCTGTTCCAAGATGACACAGAAATGATATCCATACTGAGCGATCTAGTCATAAGTTGAGCAATTGGGCCTGTCACCATCTTCATTGATACTACCTGCCCAACGACTGAGGCCAGTGACCTAACATTCTGATATCTATGCTTATGCGTAAGTAGATACTGAATGTCTGAAATTAACTTATCCCTTTTTCTCTGTGGGATAGACAATACCATGGAAACAGTATTAATATGGAATCCTAACCACTCAAGAGACTGGGAGGGCGACCATAACGACTTTTCAACTTTAGGGACAAAGCCTGACTGAATCAAATCTTCTTTTACCCTTTCACCTGTAGAATTGGCGTTATCAGAAGAAGAAGCAGATAAAATACCGTCGTCTAAAAATGTTACTATTTTCTTGCCCTCATACCGCCATTTCTTAACAAGTTGACGCATAACTTTAGTGAATACATATGGAGCAGATGTAAGCCCAAATGGCATAACCAAGAACTTATAATAGCGATTCTCCCCTGTCGAATCTCTCCATGAGAAACCGAGATAATCTGTGTGATGATGACAAATATCGATATGGTGATAGGCCGAGTGGATATCGAATTTGATAAGCCAGTCATTCATGTTTATGTACTCACAAGCCACTTTCCAATCTTCATACTTGACACTCTTCTTTTGAACATACTTGTTAACTCTAGATAAATCTAAGATCAAACGTTTTTTACCAGATGACTGAATGGCAACAGACAATGGATTAACAACGTATGGAGGAAACTCGCACTCCGATATCAAATGCTTGTTCTTTAAATCAGATATGGCGCCATTCACAAACTCCACATGCTTTAACGCTGAACTGTTATTGCACAAATGCATACTCGGAGGTCTGGAAATAAAAGGAATTTTGTAGCCATTACCAATTATATCAAGGATGTAATCTGAGGTACCAATATCACACCAAAAGTTCAAGTTAGCTTTTAAACGACCCTTGACAATGATTTCTGCTGTGCCCTGTTCATATTCAAAATAATTGTCAGTAAGCATACGATGTGTCACATTAACATCGATCTCGAGATATTAGAATCACAAAACAACTTAACTGACAAATCTGTATCAGCATAGTCATTAGGACGTGACTGTCTACGTGGCGCCTGCTCCTGTGACAGGTAGTGACGACTGCGTGCTGCTTGCTCGGTAGGGGCATTCTCTGAAGTAGTGTGAAAAGTCGCCGCAGGAAGAGCAGGATCCTTGTCTCTGACCCTACGAAAGGGCTGAATTGGCTGAATCGGTTGAGTGTGTACAGGGCTGCTAACAGGAAGAGTGTACTGCACGGGCGAAGGCGTAATTTGCGATCTTCGCACACTCTTGGATGCATAGGGACCATTCTTATTTCTCTTTTGCTTTAACTTTTTTAAAGCTTTGAAATCTGCTTTAGCGATCTTCTTATCGTCGTCCGTGTCGTCTGCTAACTCTTTGGAGACGTAATTGCGTACGGTCTCCCACCCACCCTCAGAGGAATCAGCGATTTTGATTAACTTATTTCTTTTCTGTAATCTACTTACTTCTTCGTCAATGCTCATAGAAACCTTTGCCAAATCTCCAGATACTAAAGCTTGTTTAGCCAAAGTCAAACCGTCTAATACGTCCGAATTAAAGTTAAACTGTATTTTGTTACCCTCTCGGGACCAGGAGTATTCGGACTCTGCTTTTAATTTCTTTATATCTTTGGCGTTGTGGATGAACTCCTCTCTCAGCTTAGAAATCTTATGATCGAAGGCTGACTCAATCTCTTGTCGGTTAGTATCCAACTTCTCTAAGATGGCGTCCAATTTTCCCGCCGTAGAAGAGTTGTCATCCATATTAGAAATGATGTGAACACTGCCGTGTCTAGAGCGAGAGAGACGATATTTGAAATTCCCTCTCCATTTATACCTTAAACAGCGCCACCTGTCGCACAAAATTACCTCCCTTGGTAGATTCGCATACCCCAAGGAGAAAATAGTTTCTATCTAATTCATTTCATTCAACCGAAAGAAACAATATATACTAATATCCTATGAAATACACTTGGCATAAACCTCTGTTGAATACACAAGTAAGTTGAATTAAACCTACCTTACAATATAATACACTACTAGCTAAAATACTACACATATATAACAATGCTAAAAATACAGAATAACCAAACCTAAGATTCCAGATAAAGTAATAAATGAACTTACCCTATGTGATCTTGTGCAGAGAATGTGCTCACTGGCAGAAAGGAGAAATAGGCTGACTGACCAGCAAAAGTTTGAAGCAGTCACTCCACATGGCTAAAACAATCATGTGGCCCCAGAGAACAATAAAACCCTAATCACTGCCCGAGTGACAATACCCATGAACCTATATACAATAAAAAGGATGAACTATCCAAGCTTACCTATGAGCTAGTATATTTGTGCAAGTGCTGAAGTTAAAACAAGTATTAAAGGAAAGTGAATTTTAAATATCTAGGTTTAGGTTATTAAATATTTAGGTTTAGGTTATTAATTGACTTCATATAAGTTCACTATGTTGATGATTAACATCTAACAATATACTATTTACAAACATACTGCTACATATATACCTATATGTCTCCTAACGCTTTTTCTAAGCGTGACACGCCCCTGTGATCCTGAAGGCGTTTAATGCGTTTGGGTGAGATTAGCTGCACTTGTGATTGTGAGTTCCCATACAGGCGCGCACCCACGGCGTGCACGGGCATCACGTGCTGTCAGTGCACGTGATCATATGCTGTATTCATATGTTACGTCAAAGTGTCGTAAATGTCAAAGATAGCCATATTGAAGTCATCCAGGTCCCTTTTGTCGTCGGCAGTTTATCACCGTCAACATGGTAACGGATAATAACATTCTTGTTTGGTTTTCTGTTTGCTGATCAAACGGTTCAGTGAACCATAGCAGTTTGTATCGATCAGCGTGTTGTTAATTAACTACACGAACATCGATCAATCAGTGATTGGGAGGCCGACAAGTTTTGTGCAGTCCCCAACAAGATCAACTAATCATCCAAAGAACCAATTCCGTAAATACCCTTTGATATGATTATATAGCCTTGTGTGGCGGGGTGCTGTTGCTAAGGGGAATTTATTTCGCTTGATTTATATCAAAAACATCTTTACTACATGTTCTTCCAACAACACAATTGAATCATGTTTGTGGACCATCAATCAAGAAGGAACACATGCGATCTTTGAGCTTCACTTTTCATGCTGTGATTAACACAAGAATGTATGTTTACCAAATCTGACATCGTTGGGTAAAAGTACAAGCGATGGCAGCATGGTCTGTCACTACCGCCACTGGAATGCCAGGCTAAGGTGAAGATCCATCTGTCCTCGTGCAATATTGTCATTTCCCATAGTGTTAAATGTTAGTGGAAACAGACTCCATTCTTGAAAAATTTCATACTTCAGCGTAGACATATAGACGCACACGCACATGCTCCCTTCACACTACGTGTTGAACTTAGACTTGCATACTGGAAACATCGACAACAAGGTGTAAAAGTTTAAATTAGTTTCGATACAGTTCAATAATAGCTTTAAAAGATTGATGATATTCCATCGCAAGCTGCTGGTTGTTTTTTCCGAGTGATATCAGTTGATCGCTGCCGCGCACGGCAGTCCAAGATTGATATTCATTGATTTTTAACTGCATGGTATCCACTACTCAAAATGAAGAGCTCTAGGGCAGACAAAGCGTGCATACGTTTATTAGTTGTTTGATGTTTACCTTGAAAAAGATCCCCATGTGTTTTAGTGTCACTTTGTTGTTTACACTGGCTTGACATTTCTCTGTAAGTTGTTCAAGTCCGGCATGTTGTAAATGTTCAGTGTGTCCAGACAGCGGCATGTCGCTAGTACAGGTCAGTACTCTCGTCTTACATACATTGTCTGCATCGCAACTGATGGACAGTTGTCTTTCAGATTATGATATTGTCATCAATTTTTTCCATAATTTTCAGAACTTACCTTCATGTTCAGATTAAGCGGTGCCATGATTGCGGGTGATGTAGAAATGAGGGTAGTGTTCGCAGCATTACTCTTAATCTTTGAGTTGCCAAGGTAACAAGCATTGCATTTCAAGCCAAAACATTCATATTTTGGTTTTGTCTCGAAGACATAACTTATACACGGTTCAATATTTTTCATAATACTTCACCAGGCTACTGTTAAATTGGTGCCTTTTACTATGCGTAGAATGTTAATGTTAAGTTTGGCGTCTCTCTAATTCTCTCTCTGAGGGTAGGATTTCTGTCCAGTGTCAAACAATCCTATTGCGTGATCATTTATTTACTACCTGCATGTTAGCTGGGCTGATATTTAAGAGTATATCCCTATAAGTGGCTTGTGGAATATGTTCACAAATGTCAAACTGATATATTCCTGTTTGGGCAGTTTTCTGGATATTCACTTTTATAGCCTTTCTTTACGATTAGTGCCGGTTTTAATTGTTCCAAGCGGTTATACGGCAGACATACGGGTCCTAAGTTGGGAGATAAAGATGACCTTGTCCTCGTGATTCCTGTCCAGCTGTGCATGACTCCAGAAGCTAATGCATTATATACATCGAAAATATATATTGCAGTTACGTTCTGCTTAGCAATTTCTATCTGAAATACACAGGTAAAAGATATATATTGTTGATTTTACTAAGGCCTTAATAAACGCCGGCACTTGGAAGTTTTAATCGCCCACACAGCTGATTACAGAACATAGAAAACAGTTAAAATCATTTTATGTTCAGATTACGTCACATTTACCAAGTATGTTGACGAAGAAACGAAGAATTTCTGTTCTTGTCCTTTACATACTTGTAAAACGTCTTTGTTACACCAGACATGGCGACATTATCTGCTAGTTCTTTATACCCCAACAGAGTTGAGATCTATAGCACATGGAGTTGAAATAATTGTCCACACATAAGATGTCCCACACAATGTCAACTCAACATCCAGCTGTCCCTGACTTCACATACAGCTGCCACACATAGTGTTTCCCCATAGTTGGTGTCATTGACCCACTTAGGTGCTTGGTGGAGGATGGCAATTAATTCAACAGGATATACAGGCAGATGGTGATTTAGAAGAACTGCCTCTGCAACACATACATATGGCTGAACAGTGCTTGGCCGATGATTCCTATGTGACACATTGCTCTCAAAGCCACAGCTTCAACCAGCAGTAATTATATTTTCTATTATAAAAGTTAAACCTTGCGTATATATACATATATCACGGTTCTGTGCCAGAGATAGGGGCCTTGTAATCTCAGGTGAAAATATTCATCGTTGGCAGAATATCAGAGTACAATTATTACATTGGGAAATTCGTGGTTTTACTAAGCTGAAGACCTTGGACTGGTATAGGGAACCAGTTACCATTTTCAACCATTAGCCACACTGACGGGAGAGGGAGTAAATAAATTAGTACTGATATGTTTCACCACAAACTACAATGCCAACACTATGTTGGAATTATGCTCCCGGTACGTGATAATGTTTGTGGAACTCTTTCTGCAGGCCACGTTTGTCCTTTACACTCTGTTTGACGTGGCTGAGGACATCTCACCAGTATCACTGCACACCTGCGTCAGTATCATCACTGAGATCACAAAATATTGTGCCATGTACAAATCAGAAAATTCAGATAATGTTGCATTTAAGTAAATGTGCCAATATATACATTTCTGTATAAAACAGAGCGACACTTGCCACCCAAAAGGCCGTTCTGAAATACATCTAAACTGCAGTTGATCGCAGTTGAAGAGGAAGAAGAAAACACTTCCAAAGATACACGCGGATCTTTTTCTCGGTATTTAGCAAAACTTCTGCAATCCTGCTTCATGAAAACAAGTACACAGTTATAAATAAGCCCCTTTTAATCAAGTTTACATGGCGACTCCTGACGGTGACCGTGATCCTGAATTCATTTTGAACATCATGTAGAGTAACAACTTCACCCATCTTCGTTTCCTTAGTGTCAACCCCCACACTCACATGATGTAGAGTAACAACTTCACCCATCTTCGTTTCCTTAGTGTCAACCCCCACACTCACATCATGTAGAGCAACAACTTCACCCAACTTCGTTTCCTTAGTGTCAACCCCCACACTCACATGATGTAGAGTAACAACTTCACCCATCTTCGTTTCCTTAGTGTCAACCCCCACACTCACATGATGTAGAGTAACAACTTCACCCATCTTCGTTTCTTTAGTGTCAACCCCCACACTTACATGATGTAGAGTAATAACTTCACCCATCTTCGTTTCTTTAGTGTCAACCCCCACACTTACATGATGTAGAGTAACAACTTCACCCATCTTCGTTTCTTTAGTGTCAACCCCCACACTTACATGATGTAGAGTAATAACTTCACCCATCTTCGTTTCTTTAGTGTCAACCCCCACACTTACATGATGTAGAGTAATAACTTCACCCATCTTCGTTTCCTTAGTGTCAACCCCCACACTTACATGATGTAGAGTAACAACTTCACCCATCTTCGTTTCCTTAGTGTCAACCCCCACACTTACATGATGTAGAGTAACAACTTCACCCATCTTCGTTTCTTTAGTGTCAACCCCCACACTTACATGATGTAGAGTAATAACTTCACCCATCTTCGTTTCTTTAGTGTCAACCCCCACACTTACATGATGTAGAGTAATAACTTCACCCATCTTCGTTTCTTTAGTGTCAACCCCCACACTTACATGATGTAGAGCAACAACTTCACCCATCTTCGTTTCTTTAGTGTCAACCCCCACACTTACATGATGTAGAGTAATAACTTCACCCATCTTCGTTTCTTTAGTGTCAACCCCACACTCACATGATGTAGAGTAACAACTTCACCCATCTTCGTTTCTTTAGTGTCAACCCCCACACTTACATGATGTAGAGTAATAACTTCACCCATCTTCGTTTCTTTAGTGTCAACCCCCACACTTACATGATGTAGAGTAATAACTTCACCCATCTTCGTTTCTTTAGTTCCTACATGATGTGTCAACTTCACCCATCTTCGTTTCTTTAGTGTCAACCCCACACTTACATGATGTAGAGTAACAACTTCACCCATCATCGTTTCGTTTCCATGATTAGTGTCAAGTGTCCCCCACACTTACATGATGTAGAGTAACAACTTCACCCATCTTCGTTTCCTTGAGTGTCAACCCCCCCACTTACATGATGTAGAGTAATAACTTCACCCATCTTCGTTTCTTTAGTGTCAACCCCCACACTTACATGATGTCACCCATCTTCGTTTCTTTAGTGTCAACCCCCACAGTAATAGACTTCACCCATCTTCGTTTCTTTAGTGTCAACCCCACACTCACATGATGTAGAGTAACAACTTCACCCATCTTCGTTTCCTTAGTGTCAACCCCCACACTTACATGATGTAGAGTAACAACTTCACCCATCTTCGTTTCTTTAGTGTCAACCCCCACACTTACATGATGTAGAGTAATAACTTCACCCATCTTCGTTTCTTTAGTGTCAACCCCCACACTCACATGATGTAGAGTAATATTACACTTTAATTTGTTGTGAACCTCTGGTATTCAGAGAGATTTAGTCGGAAATCGTTGTCAAGGGGACAATCCCTTGTGTCTCCGGACCATGAAGCCCATGTGATGGGCGACACTGTGACGGCCGTTACCGGGTATCCACTACTAGCTGTAGTGAAGCCTGCATTATGTAGGGTGCACCAATCCCCTGATGTGCCCCTCAATAATGCCACCGAGGGACCATCTAGCGGATTCACTGGTTCAGACAACTGTTGGAAATATCCCTTCGACATATGTACTATGTATATTTCAGGTCATCGTAACATGCAATGTGTCATTAGGTACAGTCACAACATCGAAAACATGAGTTGCAACCTTTGCCTCAGTGTCGAGCTCTGTGAACTCAAGACGGCACTGGAGATGAAGAGTAGTCTCCCCTCGACAGTGACTGCAAAACTCCGTAACGACTCCGTAACGACTCCGTAACGATCTTTATAACTAACGTGTATTTTCGTTATGGCCTTGATAATCCATACTTGGTAGAACTGTTCTGTGGAAGGTCAAACCAGGTATTAGTATTGACCTGCAAACTGAATGATTCCTAACTTTAGTGCAATACATCAGTGCGCCACTGCGACCGTGTATTTTCGTTATGGCCTTGATAATCCATACTTGGTAGAACTGTTCTGTGGAAGGTCAAACCAGGTATTAGTATTGACCTGCAAACTGAATGATTCCTAACTTTAGTGCAATACATCAGTGCGCCACTGCGACCGTATGGACACTGGACAGACAAACTATACATCGATTTGAAGATAAAATGATGTGATTTTAAACTCGTTTAAACAGGTTATTAAGATAAATAGTATCTGATAGACAATAGTGTATTCATTTTTATAAAGACGATGTATTGCAAACTAACGCCCTATACAAAGCAATGTGTGAAACCGTCATGTTGTTGGTGTATTGCTAACAGCGGCACACTCGTTCACTGAATATCATTGTTGATTTCCCATGAGGGCTCTTCTAATATTTTCCAGATGACAGAACGCGGGATTCAGATATGTTCGTGAGTTACCGAGCTTACGAAACAATGTTGCAAAATGTATTTGTGATCAATTATACTGAAAAATTACCAAACAATTAATTCTACATTCCTTTCTCCATGCTAGGTGATGCGGTGGACCCTGTACGTGCTGCTCTCTCCAGCAAGTGGTAAGTGTCTCATATCTCAACCATTTACACATTCTGGAGATGTAATGGGTTCAACAGAGTGATGGATACAAAATCTAAGATGTGGATAAGTTGATGCTCATTTTCATAGTACATGTAGTAGTATCCGTTTGACACAGATTTGCTATGTCTCATCTTTTAGATCCTATGTAATTGCCTGAACTCGCTTTTAGCAGTTTCATATTCATGATATGTAGTAAATATTGATCAAGTCTTCTGGGATTTCATGGAAGAAGAAGTTGATTTCAGTATTTGAGGCCACATGACCAAGAGTACAAACTTTTATAACAATATTTTGCCGATGGACAGATAAAACAAAGTAATTAGGACACTTTCATACAGGCAAATTACCCTTTAGAAATATTGCAATAGACTTCAATATTTGTTTTTTTTAAAAGTTGTTTAAATTTTAATCTAGATGAAAAAATATGGAAATAACCAGGCATATACAGTTTTCTATGTACAGAACAGAATGGACACACAAGTAAAAATAAAATTCATCTTGTATAACATTAAGCTCACATTTGTCACAAATGAGTACATTGTTATTTTTATTATTGTTATAACGTATTACGTGTTTGTTATGCCAGAGTTCCAATATGTATTTTGTCAGGTTCCAGGGCGGACTTGATTGCTCCATAGTCTTTTAAAAAAGATGATGAATTTCAATATCTTGACATCTTTGTCTAAATTCACTCATAAACGATTCAATATTCCCACATTCTTGTGTAATCCAAACGTAAGTAAATCCAGTTGGGAGTAAAAGTAGACGCACATGCAGCTGCCACTATCATCTTGCAGCTTTGATATTTCATAACATGATTTGGGATGTCGATATGTCCATATGTAATATTCTACACCAATATTTGATACATCTGCCGTAATATTTAACACATAATTGGGTTCAACCAATTTTATCAAGTACAGCATTGAAAGAAACATTCTATAAACACATAGATAACGTTTGAAAAGGACGCATTGGATTTTCTCAATGTGAGCACGATATGAATGGCCCCAGATTTCACTACTGCACAATAATATTGGGGTTATTTTATTATCAAATATTGCTGAAGCAACTTTCAAAGATATATTGGGAAAATCTTTAAACATTCGAGGCTTTTTTTGGCTTGAAGACTTGGTGTTTCACATGTCTTCAATTATATCAATTTTGTGGTAAAAACAACAGTCACCTAGATATTTATAGTGTGATACAACATTCATTTGGTTTCCATTATAGAACCTTTTTTCTGATATTTTCAGATATCCTTCATTTGAGATTGAAGTACAAATATGTTATTGACTGTTGAATAATCAGCTCTAAATCCTGCTTGACACTCATGTAAAATCTCATGTAATTCCATCCAGACACAAATTCTGGAGTCAAGGATAAATTTAAAAATTTTACCCATCATATTCAACAATGATATGCCACGATAATTGTTGGGATCGTGCTTATTACCTTCCTTATACAATGGTATAATCATACCGATGTTCCAATTGTCTGTGCTTATTACCTTCCTTATACAATGGTATAATCATACCGATGTTCCAATTGTCGGGAAAGACGCCGGCGTCAAATACAGCGTTAAACAGTGATTCTAAGTATGGAATAATGAAATTTGCATTTTTGAAAAACTAAGGTGGTATTCCGTCAGTGCCCGGGGATTTTCCGGTCTTAAGGGATTTGATTGCCTGTTCTATTGCATTTCTAGTTATTGGATCTGATAAGAACTCTTCATTGTTACAATCTGAACAGTCATGACTTGATATATATTCACGGGCGGTTTCATGAAAACCCTCATTGCATCCTGCCTGCAGGATTACGTAATTCCTTGAAATATGTAACCCATTTACCAATGGGAATACAGTTATTTCCTCCCGAACTAGTTGTAAGGGATTTTACCTTAGACCAAAACTTCCTACAGTCACCATCTGCAGCTACTGCACATATGCATCAGCAATCATGTTATTAAACTGCCCGGATTTATCCCGGCATGCACTTTTGAAATTCCTCTTTGCATCATTTGAACTATTGAGATTTTCATTAGACCGACACCTCCGAAATGTGCTTAAGTGAAATATTTTTGTAGTCTTAGCAAGTTCACAATCTTGATCAAACCACTTTGGTTGCCCAGGCTAGCTACTTTATGCACGTCATTTACACGTAAATGGCGTGCCACTGCAGCATTGACAGGTAAGTTTACCAATTGTTGAAAGCCATCAACAATATTAGATGCTACATCAGACGTCATGTTGACACCATATTGACAGTCTTTGCTCTTAAATACCTTGAATTTGTCACTTTGATAACACTGTACGCTTCCTTCGTCATCATTGCTATCCCTGCATCAACCCCGAGGTTTATAGTGTATTGTAATGGTAGGTGATCTGAGTCTGGTCGTGAGTGCACAGTCATGTCTAGAATAGCAGAAAACAATTTGTTGAAGCCAGTATGTAGTCTACAAGACTCGGTCCATTATGAGTAATAAGTAACGGACCCCCTCTCTCGTTCCCTTGCTTTCTACCATTTACAACGTGTATGTCCCACAGCTTGCATAGTTCAAAGATAGCGAGACCAAACTTCTCAGTTACCATGTCTTCAGTTGCTCTAGGTTCGTGGAAATAGTTAGGTAAATAGAAACCTGATAAAGGGAAATAATCAGTGTCATTATGATTTTCAATTAAATAATCTTCATTTGAACCAACACGAGCTTTAAAATCTCCGAAGAGTATGATAGGTATGTCCTCGTTTGAAAAATACACGATTTTGCCAGGTAGAAAATATTCTCGCGTATAAAATGGCTCAAAGTGTTTCTTATATAGACGGGAACTCCGCCAGAATATCGACTATTTGGTACTGCGTCCCAACACATAACTGACTATTTTGTATCTGACTAGTACATGGGGGCGTGGTGGGCGAGCTGTTTATGGCACCAGGCTAGTGATCCCGTGGAGGTGCCCACCTGTGACCAGGTATACAAAAGACCTTGGAGTCAACTTTGTGTGCAGAGTGTTGTCACAACCCCTAGTGTACAGTACACATCCCTGTGCACTTAAAAGAACCCACGAATCCGTTGGTAAATGACCATATGGTGGCCACATGAATACGTGCAAACACCTAGTTGCGGGTACAGCAACGTGCAGTTAACTTGGACAAATGTTGTATTCAGGTAACCTGAATACAACAGACGAAGTAGTGTGACTATGTGTCCCAGTCCACCCAGCTGTGAATGGGTACCTCGTAAGGATGGGGTAGCCACATTAACTTGGTGTGCATAATCATAATCCCTATGAAAATACGATGCGCCGGGGAGATTTAGAGGGAACACAAATTAGCCTTGGATACTGGCGCTATACAAATATTAGTATGCATGCAAGTACATAGTTCACTATCCACTATCACTCTGGCATTTCGTAGGACCTTGATACTGCATCAGCACTACGGGTTTACACTGTGTCCCGAAACACAACTACTACGTCCTATCACACATCTATCTATGCAATATCACCATGGGTTTATACTGTGTCCCGAAACACAACTACTACGTCCCATCACACATCTATCTATGCAATACCACCCTGGGTTTATACTGTGTCCCGAAACACAACTACTACGTCCCATCACACATCTATCTATGCAATATCACACATCTATCTGGGTTTATACTGTGTCCCGAAACACAACTACTACGTCCCATCACACATCTATCTATGCAATACCACCCTGGGTTTACACTGTGTCCCGAAACACAACTACTACGTCCCATCACACATCTATCTATGCAATATCACCCTGGGTTTACACTGTGTCCCGAAACACAACTACTACGTCCTATCACACATCTATCTATGCAATATCACCCTGGGTTTACACTGTGTCCCGAAACACAACTACTACGTCCTATCACACATCTATCTATGCAATATCACCCTGGGTTTACACTGTGTCCCGAAACACAACTACTACGTCCTATCACACATCTATCTATGCAATATCACCCTGGGTTTACACTGTGTTCCGAAACACAACTACTACGTCCCATCACACATCTATCTATGCAATACCACCCTGGGTTTATACTGTGTCCCCAAACACATCTACTACGTCCCATCACACATCTATCTATGCAATACCACCCTGGGTTTATACTGTGTCCCGAAACACAACTACTACGTCCCATCACACATCTATCTATGCAATACCACCCTGGGTTTATACATGTGTCCCGAAACACAACTACTACGTCCCATCACACATCTATCTATGCAATATCACCCTGGGTTTATACTGTGTCCCGAAACACAACTACTACGTCCCATCACACATCTATCTATGCAATATCACCCTGGGTTTATACTGTGTCCCGAAACACAACTACTACGTCCCATCACACATCTATCTATGCAATATCACCCTGGGTTTTATACTGTGTCCCGAAACACAACTACTACGTCCCATCACACATCTATATCTATGCAATATCACCCTGGGTTTACACTGTGTCCCGAAACACAACTACTACGTCCCATCACACATCTATCTATGCAATATCACCCTGGGTTTACACTGTGTCCCGAAACACAACTACTACGTCCCATCACACATCTATCTATGCAATATCACCCTGGGTTTATACTGTGTCCACAAACACAACTACTACGTCCCATCACACATCTATCTATGCAATATCACCCTGGGTTTATACTGCATCACATCCGAAACACAACTACTCACCCTTGGTTTATACTGCATCACACATCTATCTATGCAATATCACCCTGGGTTTTACTGTGTCCCGAAACACAACTACTACGTCCCATCACACATCTATCTACGCAATATCACCCTGGGTTTATACTGCATCACACATCTATCTATGCAATATCACCCTGGGTTTATACTGCATCACACATCTATCTATGCAATATCACCCTGGGTTTATACTGTGTCCCGAAACACAACTATTTCGTCCCATCACACA